TGTTGAAATTTTAAACTTCGCTATGTACATGTAATTTAGTTCCTGCTAATGATAGTAAATACTGTATTAGAAGTCAGCAATGATGAAGCGATTCCGATTCTTCCAAAAGGTTTTCACCAATTTCCGTTCAGATTCAAAATACCTCAGCTGCAGTTACCATGCTCTTTCGAATCGAAGGCTGGAACCATCCGATATTTTATTAAAATGATTATTGACGTACCGTACGCTAACCCTCCTCGATGCCTAAAGTATTTTTCCCTCATTGGCCCGAACATCGACTGCATGGAAGAAAAGTACATGGTAAGTTTATTTTCAATATATTTTTGATCGCTGCATGAAATAGATTATTTGTATATGGATCAAGAAAAATACTGTTTCTACACATATTGATTTTCCTCTTCTGCCGCAGTGGGGAATTTATGTATGTGGTTGCAGCACGGCTCTTGATAAATGATGAAGGCAGCGCTATTCTGCCATGACAGGTTTTAAACTTTGCGTGGAATTTTACCTTGGAAGAGTGTGACGAGCTACCATCCTTCATCCTGATTCCCTCTTCATTGAATTATACAGCAAGAATCTTTTCATAAAGATATTTTTGTCACAGTTCAACTCGCATAGGCAGATTTCCAACCCATGCTCAGGTTTTCTGAAACGTTGTTGCAGCCACCACACGTGCAAAAGACAATGCGCCAGGTAGATCGATTAATAAAGCATTCGGCTGTCAGTCGACAAATCATGGTTTCGCACTGAGGTCGGATCACTAGTTATTCATAGTTCTAAGACAGAGAGACGAGCACCTTAGGATGAGAGCGAAACACAAGATCACGTGCTTCACTAGTTGTCCATGTGTAGTCACAGGTCTTGAGAAAATCTGCAACGAACGCTTCAACTGAAGTTTAATCACATGAATTAAAATCTTCAGATTACCTGAAGCCAAACATCCTTAGCCCGCTGAAAAAAGGCATTTTTATGCTCGAGTACGTTTCAATACGACAAATATGTTATGGTACAAATGTTGACGCGAATCAAGGTTTAAATTGCGGCGGATCACCCAGCTGACTTTCGTAGCCTTTCCATGGAACACTGTTACGTTGAATTCGCATAAGTTTCATTTAGTGTTAAATTGGGATCACATCAGCGGCATTCTGAGCGACGAAGTGCAGTTCGTCTAGGTAATGCTTAAACACCATGGAGCCGTGGCCATCTTAAGTGGCCCCGTAATCATCTAGAAGCAATGGGGCGGTGCAATCAGCTGTTGGTGTAAAGTGAAAAATTAATTTTTCTTTCTTTACACTGTGCATTTGCCGTTTGAATCCGGCATCATTATTATCTTTACTGTAACAACTGCTTAGTATCTTCAGAAAGAAATAATTGAGACAATCAAGTAATGAATATCAACTTTTTGAAACAGTTCGTAGCGGGCTACCCTCCAGTTATCATAATTAATGGGAATCTTAGTGGTCAGGCAAGGATGATTTCCACATGTGTACGTATTGGTACATCTATACCATATTTAGACTGCAATGGTGGGCCAAGACGAGAAGACCACATGCTGCTTTTGCTGTCGCCGTGGGCCAATCGCTTTGAGACTGACGTTGGAACGTAGCGCCTATGTCTGCGGTGAAAACATACGCGTAGTGGTTGAAGTGGAGAACCATATCGACCAGGATGCCTGCGTCAAACTGAAGCTCGAACAAGTAAAATAAATTACGACTTGCATAATGCCATTCAGATATTACATCTTCTTAAATTCTTGCACATGCTGGTCAACAATACAGTAAGTCGGCGTTTTCCAGGCCAACATGACATTTTGATACAGCTCTGTTAGCAGCAGAGAAATCTTGAAGCACTACGAAGTGCGACAGAGTCAATGATACGGTGAGAAGGAATCTACCTCGAACTGCGGAGGTATCGAGTTCGAATCACAAAATATTTTCTTGACAGCTACTTCCTTTGAGCAGGGAATCAGCCAAGAAACTGGTTGCAAGTCGCCGACTTCCAAACAGTAGGGACAGCATCTGAATCTGGTGTGGTCATACC